TTTCCCCGCCTGTGCAAGCAGCTGGCCTGGCGGTGGCCGCACCCCCCTCTGAACCGGAGCTAGCGTACTCTACCGGCCTCTGCATCAGAAGAATAAAGTAGCAGAGCAACCAGGGTTGCACCAGTCGTCATGCCCCGTCATGGGTCCATCTCGTTCAAACGCGGCCGCCGTTTGACCCGGCGGCCAGGAACCCGGCCCCGGCCAACACGCTGTGCGCCCCGGATGCATTGGCGATGTCCCACGTTGAAGCGTTACAAAGAATTTTCATTTGCTTTGCTGTGCGGCGCTGCTAACAGCGCGTGCAGGCGCCCGCAACACCGCAATCGCGCTGACCACATGCCCTTTGCTGGGCACCTGCATGGAAGGCTCAAACGCAGCAATTCGCCCGCAAAAAAGTCGGGGCGTGACATGGCACACTCAATCAAACCCACTCACAACACCCCATGCTGCCATGCGTCAACAGTATGACCAATAACCAGCACCATGCGGCCAGCGACAACACAAGCACCACCAGCGCCATGTGGGTACCTCTCCACAACGGGCGCCATGCGACAGCTTGATCAAGCGCGCCTGTGCGCTCCTGGCTCACGCCTACCCCCGCCGCCGCTTGGCCGCGCGCTCGTCTTGCTGCAGGATCATCACCCCCAGCCGCCTGCCCACCGTCCGGCCCGGGGGTGCAAACCCTGCGCCCCGGCCGCGGCCGCCGCCCGCGGCGCCGCCCCTGCCTGGGCCCGTCCCTCTCGCGCCCACGCTGCCAAACCTGCCGCCGCCGCCAAAGCCGCCGCCCCGGCCCCCGCCCCTGTTGGACGCCGCCTGTGCGCTGCCGCCAAACGCCGCCTGCGGCGCGCCCCACTGCGCCCCACCGCCGCCGCCGCCGCTGGCCCCGCCCGCGGGCGCCGCAGGCCCTGCCGCGCCCGCGCCTGCGCCCCCAGGCGCGCCGTCGTAGCCCTCCAGCAGCCCCGGCTGGTTCTGCAGGCCGCCCCGGGCCTCGGGCGGCATGGGGTGCACCGCCTGCCAGCGGCGCCAGCAGTCCAAACTGTCCTCCCAGGCGCGGCCCGCGCGCAGCGCTGGCGAAGGGGGGGGCGTAGGGCAGGGCAGGGTTTCGGGGTGGGGCGAGCCGCGTGGAGGCCATTCAGCATGGAGGGCCCGCGGGGGGTTTGACGGGGCGCATGCGGCCATGGCGGCCATGGTGTGCCCTGGACCCTGCCGCTTGAAATCTTAGCCTTGCATAGACATCCCCTGAGGCCAGGCAGCAACCCCGCAGAGGCGCGCGGCGCCATGCGTGGATCTGCGTCGCCGAGCGGGGCGGGCCTGCTTCCTCCCCTCCCATGCGGGGATGCGCCCACGCCGGCAGACGGCGAGCTGGCCGCACCCCACGCTGCGCTGCACGAGCTGGCCGCGCCGTGCGGAGCCTCACCGCTGTAGAACTGCCCGACCAGAGGGTCCGCTTTGATGCAAACTGCGGGGCCAGGGCACGAGGGGGAGCGGCACGGCAGGGCTCAATCCTTGGCGGCTGCGTCAAACGTTTTTGGTCGAACACACGCCCGCAGGGCGCACCCCGGCGGTCGTGCAGGCGCAAGAGGGCTCCCGGCTCGGAAGGCGCGGCGAGGCGGAGGGGCTGAGGCGGGGAGGCCGCCGCGTTTGGCGATGGTTCTGCGACTGATGTCGCGCCTCACCTTGGCCCTGAAAGTCGACTACTTGGAGCCCCTCGAGGCTGCGGCACCTGGGTTTCCAGAAAAAGGGTTAAGCCACGGGCGGGCAGCATGAGCGATGCAATGGAGGCGACGGACACGAGCGCGTCGCGGCGCGGCGCGGGAGCTGCGTTCGCGGCGGCGCACGCGATTTGAGGAGCGGCGCCCGGCGGTGACGCCTGTGAGTCAGTCGCGGGGCGTAAAGCTGTTGCGGCGCGCTTGGTCGTATGCAGGGCGCACGCGACGCACGCACGCACGCAATCACACAAAACTTGCCCACGCACACGCGCCTGCGCGTACACACACGCACCTGCTGAGCGCCACGTAGGCCTGACCGTTGGCGAAGAGCCCCTTGAGCGACACCTGCGGCCGAGCGCCCGGCCGGCAGGCATAAAAATACGGTAGGCAGCATTTTGTCGAGGGCGGCTTGATCTCGACCGCTCGGCCCTGCTCTCCTGATACGTCTAGCAAAGTCAGCAGTCGGGAGAACGCTGGCCCCAAAGTGCCGCTTTCGCCGGGTGTCGATGCTGCCCGTGTCACTCAGATTGCAGTGTTCGACGTCCCCACCGAGCCCTCGCCCGCCCCTGGGCGGCGAATCGCTTCCCTGAGCCCGTAGCCCTGAACCCTGAACCACCTGGAACCTGACCCCCCCACCACCTGTGCATAATCCAGGGTCATGCCCTGGCTCTTGTGGATGGTGACCGCCCAGGCCAGCTTCAGGGGGACCTGCACGCGCGTCGCAGTGCCCCAGTGCTGCACCTGAGGCTCAGAGGGGGGGCCAGAGGGGGTGGGGAATGGGACAAAGGCGAGGAGGGGGGGGGTGTTTTGGATGTGAGGGTGCTGCCTTGCTTCGCTTCCGGCGCTCGCAGCACAGCCGTGTGCCACCCACTGCTGCCATCAGCCTGTGCAGCAGCGGGGGCGCGCGCCGCGCAACCGCTTCATGTCCGATGTTGGAGATCACCCCTCCCTCCCCAAGCCGCCGGGGCCGGCCGACGGCACCCAGGCTGCTAGCTGAGCACGCAGCTGCGCCCAAATCCCCCGCGCACGCCCCCGCCGTCTAGGCGCCCGCCGCCGTCTGCAGTCCCGCCACGTGCCCCTGCTGCGTGCAGGCGCGGCCGCCCTCACCTCCGCGGAAAAGGTCTCTGGCACTATGTCGCGCCGGATGCCGTTGAGGAAACGCACCACCGGCAGGAAAGGCACGCCCTGGGGAAACCAGGCAGCGGGAACGAGGGGGCTGGGGGTTCGGGGCGCCGACAAGGTCAAGGAGGAGCAGGAGGCGAGCCAGGACTTGATGCCTCTGAAGGATGCCCGAGGGTCGGCACAGGATAGAGGGCGAGCGGCGCGGCGGGCCGGCTGCCGGCGGACGCCCCTGCGGGCGGCGCGGACGCTCCAAGCGGCGGCGCCGGGAGGTGGGCGTATGCGCTCTGCCCGTATAGCGCACGCTCTTCAGCCCCGCCCTGGCCCGCACGACACGCACGCACGCACGCACGCACGCACGCGCGCACACACGCGCAGACACACACACACACACACACACACACACACACACACACACACACACACACACACACAAACAGAGTGTGTTGAGCTGCCGCCACGCCCTGCAACCCCATCCATTCCACCCCCCTACTCCTGGGCCGAGCCTTGCCTTGCAGGCCTTCAGCGCCTCCAGGTGGGCAGCCGCCTGCTCCAGCGCGGGCCCCGCTGACTCAGCGCCAAGGCCCTCCCTGCGGCGACGGGGCCGGGGCCGGGGCCACGTGTGCAGGGATGGGCAGGTCAGGTGCGCGGCGTGGGACACTGTGCGGGCTGCTCCGATCACATGGGTACACATGGAATGCTTGGGCAAGTAAGAAACTTCCATTCACTCTGCTTCCACAAATTCTGGGGTTCGTGGCTTGGGGTCTTGTGTGTCAGATCGCAGAGTCTGCGGACGTCTGCGGAGCGCCCCGGGGGAGGGAGTGAAGCGCAAGGGCGGCCCCACCTCGCTTTGACCGCCGCGTAGCGCCGCTCGTCCCCGGTCGCTGCCAGAACCTCCAACTCGCGCTTCAGCGCCTCTGCGCGCTGCCGCGCGTCCTCCACGCTCACAAACGCCTCCACCACCCCCCTGGAATCAACAGATCCGATCCGCGCGGCGGTTGGTGGTGGGTGGTCGGCAATGGGGGGCTGGAGGAGCCAGAGGTGGGGTGCAGAAGAGGGCAGCATGCGGCGCTGGGGCGGCGCGGCGTGGTTGTGTCAACGCCGGGGAGCGACTGCGCGACGATGACGTCACGCTGACGCACCTGCTGCCGTTGACCAGCGCCCTGTCCTTTTGGTTCTTGAGCAGGAGCACCTGGGCGCCAACCTGGCAACGTTGGCGGTTGGATGACTGGTTTTTTGGCTGAGGTGCAGGGGAAGGCGATCTTTCGTGGTCGGGTGGGATGGCGCGGTGGCCTAACAGAACGCGCATGGGCACAGCTGGAGGATCGAGGGTTTCAGGGCGCGGCGGGAGCGACAGAGCCGCGCGCGGCAGGTCCTTATTCAGTGGGGGGCCACAGCATGGCAGGGCGCCCACGCAGGCCAGCAATGAGGCGACAGGATCGGGGTGGGGCGTGGGGGGGAGGGCCATGCCTTGAGGCCGATGCTCTTCGAGGCCAGGCAGTCGCGGAAAAACTC